GATTCTAAACTAAGACACTCCAAAAAGCTTTGGCCCTGTATAGAGGGACTTCGTACTTGGTGTGATGCACAGGCCAGCAGCATTGGTGTCACCTGGGAACCAGGTAGAAAAGCAGATTGTTGGGTCCCTGCCAGCCCAAGATTCTGGTAAGTCAGAACCCACAGTTTAAGGAGATCCATATGTAACTTTCAGGCACATTAGAGCCTGAGAAGCTCAGCTTGGGCTCAGCTATCCAGGCCGAGCTGTTCACTGGGATCAGCTGGGGACTCAAGCCACGGCTGGGTTCCACCCAGTGATCTCACTGGGACATCCAGCAGCCTCTGCACCTGGATTTTGGAAGTGCCACAGGTGATTCTTATGTACAACAGAGTTTGAGAATAAGTAAAACATTGGAGCTATGTGATGTTAAGATGGCTAATAAATGACATTTATTATTTTGTTCCTACTATAAGGATAGAGAAACATACATGGATGAGTGATTATTGATGATAAAAATTTCCAGGCCCATGTGCTCCTGTAAGAGTTTGCCTTCTTGGTTTCAGCACCAACAGGCGTGCTCCTGTCTCCACTGAGATGAAGCGGATGGCTCCGAGCCTGCTGGCATTGCGTGTTCAGGCACATTTGTGCTTCCCTGCCACGTGGACCCTCCGCCCTTCTCCCTCTCTTCTGTTTTGCCTCCGTAATTCACTTGTACATATGAATAGTCTATTAGAGTTATTCACAACCTCAGAGTCATCTCATTTTACTGTTTCCTTATTTTAAAATACCTGTGACACTTCTGAACAATGAAAAACTAAAACGAATAAATAATATACATATAAACCCTCTCTAGAATTACTAGGAAAGAATATTTTATTTAAAACTGTGATTCATGTTTTGGTGTACACCAGGGGATTCATCCAAAGATGAGTGGTTATATTAATATATAACTTGAAATTTATTTTCCTCTTCATTCTTGCCTTCTTTTTCCCCTCATTTGTTATTTCTAACTTTATTTTTTATTAATATATATTTGTTATACATATTTATCACATTCATCGTAGGGAATTTGTACCTGCACATACTATATGTTAATTCTTTTTTCCCCATTCCACTCTCCTCCCCTTCCCTCAACCCTTTTTTCCCCCTCTCCATTTACAAAAGCTTTATTTCCATTTTTTTTCTATTCTCTTTTTCCCTTTTCCTTTCCTTCCTTTCTCTTTTCCCTCCTTCCTTGTTACCCTTCCCATTTGAACATGCTCTTCTTATTTCCCAATATCTGTGGAAGGTGTTGTTTCCCTAATTTTTTTCCTATTATTATAAGTTTTTAAATACATTTTAGGTATACAGTTCAGTTACATTCATCATTGGGATCTTGTACCTTTACATGATGTATGTTGGTTCTTTTTTTTCCCCCATTCCCCTGTGCTTCTCTAATTTCTCTCTCAGTCAGTTTGTTATTGGAATACAGGAATGCTATTGACTATTCAGTGTTGACTTTGTATCTACTATGCTGCTGAATTTGGTTATTAATTCTAGGAGTATTTTGGTGGAGTTTTGGGGATCTTCTATGTAAAGTATCATGTCATCAGCAAGTAATAATAATTTAGCAACTTCTTTTTCCTATCCATGTTCCTTTTATTTCTTTCTCTTATCTAATTGCTCTGGCTAATGTTGATTGAATAAGAGTAGTGATAGTGGGCATCCTTGTTTTGTTCCTGTCTTAGAATGAAAGATTTCAGTTTTTGACCATTTAGTATGATGTTGGCTGTTGGTTTGTCATAGATATGTTTTACAGATTGAGTTAAAGAGCTTTTATTTCTATTTTCTGTAGGGTTTTTATTATGAATGATGTTGAACTTTGTCAAATGCTTTTTCTGCATCTGTTGAGAAGATCATGTGTTTTTTGTCTTTGGCTTAGTTGATACAGTGTATTACATTTATTGATTTGTGTATATTAAATCATTCCTACATCCCTGGGATAAATCCTACTTGGTTATGGAATATCTTCTGATGATTTGCTGCATTTGTTTGCCAGTATCTTATTGAGGATTTTTGCATCTGTGTTCATTAAGGAGATTGTCTTTTTGGGTTAGACTCTTCTTTGGTTTACCAAGCATTACCATGGTAATGCTTCCAGGAATGAATTTGGCAGGATTGCTTCTCTTTCGATTTTATTGAAGAATTTGAGGAATAGTTGCAATCAATCTTCTCTAAAGTTTTTGTAGAATTCAGCAGTGAATCTGTCAGGACCTGGGCTTTTCTTTTTTGATAGTTTTCTTTATTAGTTCTTTGATTTCATTGACCTATATTGGTTTACTTGGAATTTTTCTATCTTCTTGATTCAGCTTTGGTAATTCATATATATCTAGGAATCTGTCCATTTCTTCTGAATTTTCCATCTTATTAGGGTACACGTTCTCAAAGTAGGTATTGATGATCTTCTGGATTTCTGCAGGATCTGTTGTGATTTCACCTTTTTTCATTCCTAATTGCATGGATTTGGGTCTTTCCTTCTTTTTTATAAAGTTGACTAAGAGTTGTCCATTTTATTTAATCTTTCAAACAGTTCTTTGATTCATTGATTTTTGTATTGTTTTCTTAGTCTCAATTGCATTAATTTCCTCCCTTGTACACTTTGGGTTTAACTTGCTATTCTTTTCTAGAATTTTGAGATTCAACATTAGGTTATTTATTTGAGCATACTCTGTTTTTTTGTTGTAGGAATTCATCACTATAAATTTCCCTGATAGGATTCCTTTCATTGTATCCCATAGTCCCATAAGTTTGGGTATGTCATACTGTCTCCCCCCCCCCTTTTTTTTTTTTTTGAGCCAGGGTGTCACTATGTAGTTCATAGTGCCTTGGAACTCACTATATAGCCCAGGCTGGTCTTGAACTCCCAGTGTTCCTCCTGAACTCAGCCTCCTGAGTGCTGTGATTACAGGTGTGCACTACCATGCCAGCAAAAGCTTTTATTTTAACCAGGGATCAAACTCAGTACCTTGCACCTGCAAGGCAGGTGGCAGCACCACTGAGCTAAATCCCTGGTACCTTCTTTTGAATTAAATAAATTTTGATTTGATTTTATGTAGTCTGTAGAACTCCTTTTTAAAAATTATTACTCTAGCCACCTAACACATAAATTTTTATTTAGCTTAATTTAAATCAATAATGTTGCCCTTTGCCCAAATAATACAAAGACTTAATCATATTTTTATTCTCCTGGCTTCCTTGCTGTTATTACCCAAGATTTTAATTCTTTTAAGTCACCAGATTAAACATCATCTCAATATTCTGTTTATATTTTCTTGCATTTACCAATTCCTTTGTACATAATTCTTACGTGCATCCAAGGCTTCTAGGATCACATCCTAGTTCCTGGCCTTTGGACTGCTAGATAAATAGGATAAATAGGGACTTAATTAAATGCCTTAGGAAGAAAATGAGAAGAGTCCTGTGTGATATGTCTTACCCTCAGCCCCACTCACCCTGCAGTGCTATTCCTGAGCACTGGACTGAGTACTGGAGGTGTCCTGAGTATTTCCCTTGTACTTTCTCTGGTTAGTATGTTTTGTGGAGTAGAGAAGACAATGAAATCTTAGAATACTGAAATTAAGTATACTCCATTTGAAGGACCGTCATTTATTCTGAGATTGTGTCCTTCCTAACTGTCTCTATTAAATTACTTTTATTTTAGAAAATGATGGCAATAGTTGAACTTTGGATGGCATTTGGCTTAAATTAATTAAATTTTATGTTAACATTTGCTTATTCGGCAAATCACAACTCAGTTGCAAGCCACAACTCATAGAGTTTTTACTGGTCCTTGAAACCCCAAACCATTGTTGTAAACAGCTATGAGTTTGGGGTCTGGATATTGGGCTACTTGAAAGTATGTCTTCTTGGTTATATAAAGAGCCTTATTGGTTGTTCAGACTGTACATAAATCCTGTGGTGTAAATAATGCTTTTCTTCATTAGCTGAGCAGCATTAGATTATCAAGAAGTTTGTAGTACTCTCCTGGTAATTTAAATTGTGTTTAACAGTTTCCGTAAGACTGAGTCTACATTAGTAAAATTACCTGCATACTTCATGTATTCTCTGTGAACATCTGGTGGCACTTGTGTGCCCAATTTTTAAACAATACTGCTTTGAGAATCACACAACCCAATATTCTGCCAATAATTTACTAAGTTCTGTACCTTCTTATCAGGATGGGATGGGACCAAGTGGTTTCCAGGTTTGTTTTCAGCACTCATGTAGGTTGTGACTGTAGCTGCATGTATACTTTTTTAAAAAAGTGTTCAGGAAATTATTTCACAGATATTTGTGTTAAATCTGTGGTCCATTTGGATATGGGAGACATTAAAATTTCTGATGTAGCTTGTCTTTAAGATGCACACTGCAGGGCTGGGGATTTGGCTCAGTAGTTCTGCCACCTGCCTCACAAGTGCAAAAGTGCAAGGGCCTGAGTTCGATCCCTGGTACCCCCCTCCCAAAAAGAAGATGCACACTGTACCTGTAATATGAGCACTGCCATTCGGCAGATGCCGTTTTGTTTGCTGGTATGAAATCACCACAGACCTCATTTCTCAGGTGGAAGAATAGCCATGTATGAATATAACCACACCATTATTGCAGAGGGTCCTAGGACTGTTTCACGTATTTATTTTTGTATTTTTTGTTTGTTTGTTTGTTTGTTTTTGGTACCAGGGATCAAACTCAGGTCCTTGTGCTTGCAAGGAAGGCGCTAGAACCACTGGGCTAAAACCCCTGCTCATGTATTTATTGTTATATGGTCATATGCTTGACATGGACATTTTTATCTAAAGTGTTCAGACATGACTACTTAAAGATACACCAAGCATGGATTTTGGAGACCTCTGAATTCATGATAAAATTGTTAACTGCCACCATCCAGTTTGTTATTTTCAACACATACAAGAAAAGGAAGTATTAAAATAACTCCTGCCCATTTGAGAAAGGAAATTAACATTTCCTAAAAAATTCTTTTCTAGTGAAGGAAGCCCGTCCCCCAGAGTGGAGCTACTGCACAACATCGACCCAGGCTTTGTAGACCCCTCGCCATGTGAGTACCCAGGTTGCTGCTACTTTGTGAGACTCCTGGCTCACAATGTGGTGTTACTGTCTACTGTCGTTCTAGTCTGACTTTCTGATTGTCCACTTGAGTTGCAGTAAAGGTAAACAGTTCTTCAGGACATACACCTCACTAATCTCGTTATAGTTTTGGTGCAACCAAGGACAATATACTGTGAAAGGGACACCGGGTAACAAATCACAAGAGCTGAATTCTATGCTAGGTTCTGCTATTGACAAGCTGTATAACCACGTCATTTCATTGTCCATGCCTTCTCGTTGTTGCCTCTCTCTCTGTGTGTGTGTGTGTGTGTGTGTGTGTGTGTGTGTGTGTGTGTGTGTGTGTGTGTATGATACTGGGGGTTGAACCTAGGGCCTTCACGCTGAGCTACATTCTCACCTGGATATTTCAGAATCTTCTTGCAGAAAACTTAGCATCAAATAATGCCATGTTAGTGCTCAGATTAGCATGAACCACTACATCTGTTTGGCAGTCAGGTGCTACCCAGCTGTAGGGTCTCAGTGTGATTTTCCTGGACATCTTGGAAGTCATTCAACTTGATGCCTACATAACCTGTGAGGAGCCCTCTTAATTCCTTCAGGGCAAGGCACAGTCAGTGTTCTCAGATGAGGACAGACCATAATGGTTCTGTATAAGTACTGTTTGCCTTACTTGCCATTTCCAAATATTCAGATCATTATACTGGTATCTTTGTAAAATTATTATTAGTACTGTACATGTTTACTGTATATGATTACATTCAACATAGGAAGTTGTTACATCTACATAACACATCCTAATTTTTTTTACTTCCCTTTCCCTTGCCTTTCCTCCTCCCTCCAACCTCCCTCCATCCCTTGATCCTCTTCCTATTTGCAAAAGATCTATCTCGCTGTGTATTGAACGTGCTTTCCCTGGGCTTGCAATACCTTTTCCCTGCCCCTCTATAGTTTCTCTCACAACCCAACCCAGCATCCCTATCTGAATGCTTTCCAGAAGCCCCATGAGAAGCAGCTGTCCCCTCCTCTTTCCTTCCCTTTGTCTGTGTCTATGAGAGGCATTCAGCACATTTTTGTGTTTGCATCTGCATATCCCACTAAGCTGAGAGCTACTACAACTTATTTATCTTTTCATCCTCATCAGTTAATACAGACACTCAGCACTTGGTAGACATTCAGTAATGACAGCTTGATGATGGAATGGATAATTGGAGAAGTGTTGGGATGCAATAAAGATCAAAATGGATGTATTAAACCTGGAAAAGAAATGGCCCTGAGACGGGGTGGGGTAGTTTCTGTTTCTGTTGGACTAAACTTACAGTGATGGGAGATGCAAGAGTATGGTTTGAGTCCTGAGGACTATAAGAACAGCCTGGATTTGCACTGTCCTCTGTGGTAGCCACCAGCCATGTGTGCCTACTGGTCCCTTGAAGGGTGGCTCATTATGGATTGGGATGTGCTGTAGTTCTGAAATACACATCCAATGGGTGTGGTGCTGCACTTCTGTAATCCTAGCAATTTGGGAGGCCAAGGAGGAGGATTTCAAGTTCAAGCCTAACCTGGGCAATTTAGCAAGACCCTGTCTAAAAATTAGAATTTTAAAAGGTGAGGTCTGGGAATATAGCTCATTGGAAAGGCTCCAGGTCCTATCCCTAGTACCACAGAAAACCTCCACCAACATCTGATTTTTAAGACTTAGTTCTCATATGTAATATATGTCATAATGTACCATGATATCAGAATATACTTTATCTCTGCTTTATATACTTTGTATATAATGGTGAAGCAGGAATGATTGTTACAACTTCTGAGTAACTAAAATTATGACAAACCCAGCATAACCCAGGTCCACAGGATGTTCAGACTGTGCTGCCCACATTGCAATGGCTGTCAGCTGTTTTTCCTTGCTAAGTCACTGCTGTAGATAGAAGCCTTGCATCCTCTCACTCAGCTGCATTAGGCTTAGCATTAGAAGTGGCAGTGTGGGAACCATGTTTCTGTATGGCCACAGTGACCTGCTTGTAGCAGGTTCTCAATGTAACCTGCTATAATCATTGCTCTCTTCCCTAGAGTACTACTAGCAATAATAGCACAAGTGAAAGGATCTTGAAGGGTTAACATTGGTAAGGGTGTAGAACTCAGAACAGAGAACTTGGTAGCCTTGACCCCATGGATTATAAGGATGTTTACTTTTCTTGCATTCTGCATATTACTTGGTGGACTTGTTGTTGCTGTTAATGAACTCAGACATGCATTTGACCTTCTGCTCCTTGTGCTGCCATCTTTGAAACCTTCCTCTTGGTGGCCTTCCACACTGGCTTGGGACCCTCCTCTGATTCCTGAGTCCAATGAGGAACACTGTCTTGTGTCAGCGTAGAACCACACTCCCTGTTGGTTCATGCAGAGTGGTCTCTATTGTCTGTGCCTGCCAGAAGCAGGGTGCCATCCTCTTCTTGTGGGCCTCTTCTGCCCAGTCTTCATGATTGCTTCAGTATTTCAGGCTATTGTAGAAAGACAAAGGGCTGTCATTGGGGGCCTGCTGCTTTTATGAAGATATAAGCCTGTTTCCTTTTCTCTGCAATTAGTATTTGTGTGTGTGTGTGTGTGTGTGTGTGTGTGTGTGTGTGTTATCCAGCTATATGAAAATATGTACATACCAGAGAGCCAAAATTTCAAATCATATTTATAACTACATTTTACAAATAGGTTCTAGAAGGTTTTGTGGAGTGAAATCAGAAAGCAGCCCATGTAGGGTATTAACTAGGGGTGTTTGAGTTAGCATGATCACAGAAGCATTTCCGTGGTCTCTTCCTCCAGTTCTTCTCAGCTGATTCCACAGACAGGAAAAAGGTGATGTTTCATCTCCACCTGTGCAAAAGCCACTTCATCCCTATGTTCACCTCTGAGAACTAAGTTAAACAGTCTATAAGGTCCCTTTCAGCTTCAGTTCTTTGGTCTCTGCATATATAAGTCAAGAGAGCAAAATTGGCTCCTCAGTCTCTCTCCTTTTTCACACTGCTAGAAGGGGAGTATTCCTTCATAAACAGTGATGTTGCCACAGGTATGGCCATAAACTCATGAATGCAGGCGGCAAGGTTAAAACAATTTTAATTATCACATAATTATGCTGTTACATCCTGCTCACCTTTCTGATTCCTCTTCTAAAGCATCACTGTATCAATCCACTGTCCATGTCTCCTCTCCCTTCAGTGGATTGTTCTGAGGACTGGGCCAATATCTCCCCCAATCATGAGTCATATTAACATCATTGGATGTTTCTCAGGGCTATGTCTTCTACACAGCACCGGCTCCCCTCAGCTGCTAGCCTGTTAGATTTTAGCAGGGACCCACGCCCTTATCCAGAGAAGGTAGCATATCCAGGCCCTTCCTGCTGATAGAGTTAGGATTTTTTTCATGGTCACATACCCTTAGTGGGTTGCGACTTGGTACTAATAGTAAAAATACTCAAAGACCAGCTCAAAAGATTGGTCTACACACACACACACACACACACACACACACACACACACACCCCAGAGGTTGTAAGATCTCCCACAGTTTTTCAGTAAAGCATGAACATCTCAGAGATGCATAGATCACACCCATCAGGATGACTACTATCAAAGGACGAGAAGGAGATGGATGGAGGGAGGAAGGTGCTGATACTGATGACAATGTGAAGAGGCTGGAATCCTGGGCACTGTGGTGGGAATGTAACCTGGGAAGCCACTTTGGAAAATAGTATTGTGGTTCTTGAAAAATTAAAAATAGAGTTGTCATAGGATCCAGCAATTCCGCTTCTGGGTACATAGTCAAAAGAGATGGAAGCAGGGACTCAAAGAGGTATTTGTACTCTCATGTTCATAGTAGCATCATCCATAATAGTCAAAAGTCATACACTGAATGGATGGCTCAGTGGTCGAGCTCTTGCCTAGCATGTGAAATACCTTGGGTTTATCCTCAGCAATTACACTAATAATGCTGCTACTAATAAAAATGTTTAAAAGAAATAAGAGAAAGTGGATAAACAAAAAGGGCAAGATACAATGGAATATGATTCAGCCTTGAAAAGGAAAGAAATTTTGCTATCTGCTACAACATGGATGAAGTTTAAGGATGCCATGCTAAGTGCGATAGCCAGTCACAAAAGGAAAAATAACTGTGTGATTCCTCTTACATGAGATACCTGAAGTCATCACGACAAAATATAGTAGTACAATGGCTACTGGAGCATGAGGTGAGAAGAGGATGGGGAATTATTGTTTAACAAGTGCAGAGTTTTGGTTTTGTGAAATGAAGATGGTAGTGATGGTACCACATTAAGGGGAATGTGGTTTAATGCAACTGAACTGTGCAATTAAAAATACTGTAGTTAAAATAATAAACTTTATGTTGTTCATATTTTATGACAGCTTTAAGGAATAAAAAATAATGCACATTGGAAATAGAGGAGGAATAAGAAGAGTAACTATATCTTTGTATTCCTACAGTTTGTCATTTCATAGCCTTTCCTGAATCTAAAAGTACCTCACATAATTTAAAGTTACCAGCTACTTCTTGCTTTGTACTGGCGTGATCACACACAGATGTTTGAAACTATTTGTCCACTTATGCATGTCCTCCCTCATCTTCTGCTGCCTGGAAGATACCCAGAAGAGGTGACAAGTGACTCCCCTGCTATTCCATTCCTTTCCTGACCCTCCTTGACAGGCAGATGGAGAATTAGAACATTCAGCCTCCGGCTTCCCTCTGTATCAGACACTGTGTCTCTGGCTGCTCCTCTCAGTCCTTGTCCGTCCCTGCCTTTGTGGGAAGGCTCCTTTCATTGTCACCTTGGTCACTGATCATCTCAGAGCCCCAAGTCTGGTTCTGCTTTTATTCCCTCTCAGCCCCAGTGCCTGTGTGAGATGTGAGCTGTAATTGCTGACCTATGCTTTCATGGCACTTTTTGTTGATCTTTGTAGGCTTTGTTTTCGAGTTAACTTTGGAAGT